CTCTCTCTCTCTCTCTCTCTCTCTCTCTCTCTCTCTCTCTCTCTCTCATTATTGTATACAGTGTTACTATGTGACCCAGGCTGGCCTTGAACTCACAGCAATCTCCCTGCCTCAGCCTCCCATGTGCTGGGATTGTAAGTGTGCACCACCAGCCCTGGCTACCCTCATTTTCTCAATCAGGGTCAAAACAACTTGTGGCCAGAGCCCTCTTTACATTTGAAGACCTGGCCCCTGCCTGCTGGCCGCTGCTCTGGGTCTCCGGGTCCAGCTGACTGGGGAATGGGCCAATGGCTCCACCCCCTGTGCTCTGCCAGAAGGCGGCTCCAGGAGAGAAGGCCAAGTGCTCCTCCTGCAGGTCTGTGCTGGCTCGCCAAGACCCCCAAGGAGCTGGCTCTCTGGTCCCCATCTATCAACCCCACACACCAAGGCCCTGGGGCAGAAGCAGGACCCCAGATGTAGGCTGTAAGGAGATGGGGGTGATGGAGCCATCAGAAATGGAAGAGGGGGTAGGCAGGGGCTCGCAGAGTTCCTGGGAACCACAGATCACAAGAACTGGGAGTTGGCATCCAAGCAAGCTCCTGCGACAATCCCTCCTGCTCAGCAGTAGTTTTTATAAGAAGGACCCAGTCCTCGCAGAAATCAACCACACAGACACGTCCCAGCTGTGCCTCCAGGAGGCCGGGATGGAGCTGAGGGACAGAAGCCGGGTGGGATGGTAGGGGCGGGGTCAGGAGCAGCAGCCGGCTCTCTTGCGAGGCTTCCTGGGTGCCACCTCCACCAGCGAGTCCCTTAGGCGGTCCTCCTGCACCTTAAGGGCCCTGCGTGACAGCACCCAAGGGTCAGTCCTCCTGGCACCACAGCTCTTTCCTGCCATTCTTTCAGGACTGCTGGGTGCCAGGTGCCACGCGAGGGAATCTGAGTGAGGCAGAGGTACAACGTCCCCTGCTTCGCACTGTGAGAGGCAGATGGGAAAAGGGAGGATGGCACCGGGCGGGGCGTGGGATCAGGTGTGTGAATGCGCTTTGGGCTGGGAGGGGCAGGGAAGGACAAGCAGTCAGTCATTCCTAGTTGCCCTCCTGTGGGTGGGTGTGGGGAGCTCCTTGGTCTAGCACCTCTCCCAGTGCTTACCCCATTCATTTATTGAGCACCTACTGCATCCCAGGCCCTGGTGAGGGGCTGTACCAATGGACACAGCCCCACCCTTCTGGGCACAAGAGGAAGGAGACAGAAGTGTGTACCTAATTACAGTGCTGATCAAGTCTGTGGTCTGAGTTGGAGGTCAGGGAGGAGTGACCAGAGTTTGATGTGTGTGTGCACACATGTCTGTGTATGTACACACAGGTGCACACAGGGGCGAAGGAGGGGCTGCTGGAGACAATGAAGTGTCTTTCAAGGCACCTGGATTTCATTTTTGTTTTGTTTTGGTTTTGGTTTTTTTGTGGCTTTTTGGAGCCAGGGTCTTGCTCTGGCCTGGAACTCACAGCGACCTTCCTGCCTCAGCCTTCTAAATCCTGGGATTACAGATATATGCCACCGCACCCAGCTGGATTTCATTCTAAATCCACAGATGCCAGTGGAAGCTTGGGAGCAAGAGGGGGGACGCTCCAGGCCCGGTCCACTTCACAAACAGACACCAGGCTTGGTGAGGGGACAGGCCTCTGTGGAGTGACACAGCAGTGTGGATGGGAAGGCTGAGGCAGGAGCCTCTTGGCTCAGGGCTCTCTCTGCTCCCCAGCGGGAGCCCTGTCCCTTGCCGGGGTGTCTGCTTGGCTGCTCCCACAGGCACTTGGCTCCACTGGGGGTGTCTGGGTAGGGTAGGGGTGGGGCAGCTCACCGGGCCAGGTTCACCACGGGCTCCAGGATGTTGTGGCCCAGGATGGCGCTGCACTCTCCGAAGGACACGCCCAGCTCCTGCGGGCCAGACAGAGTGGTACAGATGCCTTGGGGCACTACGACGCCAGGCCGGCTGCACCACCAGGTGCAGACCACAGAGCGAGTCCTGCCAAAGGCCTCGCCAAACTGGAATTGCAGGTGTGCACCACCGTGGCCGGCTTCATAGAAAACCCTTTTGTGAGGTGAAAAGAGCTAAATGTCACTGTGTGCCCAGGGCGAGCTTGTGAACGGCTCCAACAGTCCAACATCAGAGATTTCCTGGGGTCCCACCTAGCCGCCAGGTCTGGCTCGGCCTGCTTTTCCAGCTTGATGGTAGATAGTGTGTCTTGGTTCCCTTACCTCTATCTCCTCCTGGGACACGATTCTCAAGAGCAGACCCTAGCCTCTCATAGGATTGTCACAATTTAGCCACCAACCACTGTCTTTCGTGTGTGTGTGAGATAGAGGCTTGCCTTGTAGCCCAGGCTGGCCCCCAATGCAAGGCAATACTCCTGCCTCAGCCTCCCGAGTACTGGGATCACAGGCGCACACCAGAAATGCCTGGAAAAAGTTGTTCTTATAAATAATACTGTAAAGAACACTTTCAGGAAGGGCCGGGGAGATGGCTCAATAGAATAAGCGCTTGCCTGGCAAGCATAAGGGCCTGAGTTCAATCCCCTGTTCCGCAAAGTAAGTAAGTAAGTAAGTAAATAAATAAATAAATAACGAAAGAATCACCCGTTCGCACATGGGCGTCCATTACACAGCCCTTTCCCTACTATTATTTCTCATTTTTCCCTATGCATAAATTGCTGGAGAAAGAATCACTATTTAGACAGAAACACCACTTGGGGGGCTAATGAGGCGGAGCCGGGGGCAGGGCAGGGCGACTCCGCCCCCTTCCTGGCGCTCCAGGGGCTGCCAGGAGGGTGTGGTTCTGTGCCAGTTACAAAGAAACCCAGGCGGAGCTCTGGGTCTGGCAGGGGGCTTTTGATGAATCTTCCCAAGGACACGCTGGAGTCTTAAAGCAGAATAAATTAGAAGGGAGGATGTTAATTAGAGGCCAGGGATAGAATTAAGATTTGATAGGGACTTTTAAGTGGAGTTTCTGAAACCTTCGCCCCACGGAGCTGATTCACGGAGCCCCGGGCTGCTGGGCGGAGGGGTCGAAGCTGTGGGCAGAGCTAGGGCAGGCAGGGCCGGCGGGCCACCCGCCGGGAAGGGCTGGGAAGGGCTGGGAGGGCCCGCGCTGCTCACCTGCGCCAGCTGCTGCCCGGCCTCCGTGGGCACCTGCCGCGCCTCCTCGCAGTCCGTCTTGTTTCCGAGGAGGAGGAGGGCCACGCCCTGCGCCCCTGCGTCCTGCGCACCGAACACAGGCCCGGAGCCTCTGAGGGAGGCTGGTATGCCCAGGGCTGCCCCTCCGCGTGTCCCGCCTGCTGACTCCGCACCTGGACCCTCTCCCCACCCGCAGTCAGGCCCCGCCCCCATGTGCATTTTGCCTGCTTTCAGGGTCCCCTCCCCCAGGAAGCCTTCCTGAGCGGCTCTTGCCCTTGCTTTACACAAGTTGCCCTAGCACATTTCCTAACTGTGTCAATAATTAATAATAATAATAATAATAATGATAATAGGGGCCGGGGAAATGGCTCAGTAGAATAAGCGCTTGACTGGCAATCGGAAGGATCTGAGTTCAATCCCCGGTTCCGCAAAAAAAAAAATAATAATAATAATATTAATATTAATAATAGGTCTTGGCTGGCCAGAGCGGAGCGCGCCTGTCATTCCAGCCACTGGGGAGGCTGAAACAGGAGGATCCCAAGTTTGAGTTTCAGCCGAGCAACTCAGCAAGACCCTGTCTCAAAATAAAAAGGGCTGAGGATGTAGCTCAGTGTGAAGACCCTGGGTTCAATTCTTAACACCACAATCAATGAATCAATGAAAGTTCTGATGACCTGAGAGCTCGCTCTGCCCCAGATACCGAGCTGAAATCAATTCTATCAGTTAAGCCTTAGCACTCCCCTATGGGGGGGGGGCAGGAATGGGAAGTTCAGAGAGGTTAAGTCACTTGTCCAAAGTCACAGAGTTAGCCTAGGACAGCTGGGATTCAAACCCAGGCCTGTCAAATCCCAGAGCCAGCTCCGTCCTCTGCTTTTGCACCGCTTCATCTAGACTAGAAAGCTGGGCGGGAGCAACTCGTGCGAATGCAACTTCAAGTCTCGCTCACACCCACGGTAGCGTTCAGTAGATCCGTGCTAAGTGTGTGGGCAAAGGAACTGGAGGCTGGGAACAGAGGCGTGGTCACCTAGGGTGGCACTAGGTCATCCTTGGGCTTAGCAAGAAAACATCACAAACAGCTGCTGTATGTAGAAAATAAATGCTTGCTCGCAGGATAAAGCGAGCAGCTTAGTTTGGCTTAGCGGTTGCACTGTGCGCTTGCTGTTTTTCATACTACTGCACTCCCAGCTCACGCATCCATGTGACGTTCGCAGGTGGTGGCCCTGTTAGGACTGTCGTGTCATGTGTAATCCTGGGAGAAGTGGACAGGACACAAGCTCCCTCTTGACTCCAAAAACTGGGATGGCCCTCTGCAGCCACCGCTTACCTGCAGACAGTCCAGCCAGTAGCGCACATGCGCAAAGCTCTCCTGAGAGGTGACGTCATACATGAGCACCACCCCATCCGCCTTGCGGAGCAGCTGCCGCGTCACGCTGTGGTACCTGCCCAGAGAGCTCTGTGATGAGTCCTGAGGAACAGCACCCACTCCCCAGGATATGACTTTTCAGCCTCGGCCTCTGCTAGCTGACCAACAGCTTAGGTTTCACAAGGCACCTACGGCACCCAGGCACCCCCCAGAGAGCCTCCCACCCCAGTTTAGGACTCTTTCCCTCCGGGTACGGAAAGAAGGTCCTCAGGCCTTTCTGTGACTTCCCAGCTGTATCGCGCTAACTGCCTGAATTTAGGTAATGGCCCCTGCGAGTGGGCACTCAAGCCACACAAAGGTTGTCACCGCCAGGAACAGGCCACACAGTTGTCGTCAGGCCTGAGGAGCTGATCTACAGCGAGAGTTTTTAGAAATGGATGCAGGCAGAAAAGAGGTCCCTGTTGAGCCTTGGTTAGAAAAGCCTCACTCGGGTGGATGGAAGGCCAGGGCATTTGGAAGGACCAGTGGCCTGGCGGCTGTCCCCTAAGGGCAGTGTTGGGGTGCACCCCACCCGCGCTGGACTCCTAGTCCTCCATCCTTGGCCTTGAGCTGCCCTCCTTCCTTCGCCTAGGACCCTGGGCTGGCTGTGGCCGCTCACTGGCCCTGGTGGCTGCCACCCAGGTTCCCTCCACCCGAGGGCCCTCTACAGTGATACACAGCACCTCTCCTGGCCAGCTGTGTCCCACAGCTGCAGCGCAAAGCACTTGTTGTCCACCAGCAGGGTTTTGACCCGAAAATCCACTCCTAGAACACAGAGGGGACACGTGTCACTACCCAGGATACCTAGCCCAAGCCTGCCCTATACATATGCGTCCCCAACCCCAGCCAAGGGAGAAGCAGCTTGCTTGCTAGGCTCCCCTGCTGCGCTCCAAGCCCTCACCCCCAGGCCCAAGAGCCCACTTCCTCCAAGATGCCCTCCTAGGTCACCAGCCACATCCTGACCAGCTGCCATGGGTCCCCAACTGCACAGCACTGCCTTTTCCTTGGGCCACCCAGGAGCCCTGTCTTCATTTACTTTGTGACACTGCTTCAGTCCCATCTTTGTCCTTACTCTCTGCAGGCCCGCTCCTTCCTATACGTTGGTTCCAGACTGGTTTTGGTGGTGGTGGCGTTTTGAGACAGGGTCTCACTAGGAAGTTCAGGCTGGCCTTGAACTTGCTATTTAACTTGAGCTGTCCTAGAACTTACAGCAATCGCCCTGCCTCAGCCTCGAGAGTACTGGGATGACAGGGGTGCACTGCCAAACCTGCCATTAGATCCTTTTTGTCCCCAGGAATAAGGAGATAAAAGTAAGATCCAGGCTGTGGAGATAGCTCAGCGGTCTAAGGGCCTGCCTAGTGAGTGCCAGGACCTGGGTTCGATCCCTGCTACCACATGTAGTGCCGACCCCAGAACCCTGGACATGCCATGCTGGCCACCAAAACTGGGCATGGTAGCACATGCCTGTAATTCCAGTCCTGGGGAGGCTGACACAAGAGGATCACTGTTAAGTCTGAACTGCAGAGTGAGACCCTGTATCCAATATATAAATAAAAAATAAAATAAAAAAATAAAATTTCCAGGGAGGCTCGGGGTCCTTGGGGTGCATTTTTCCATTAGCATCTGCCATCACCTCCAGCAAACCTGCCCACAGGACTCCCTGGAAGAAGCCTGATTCCAGCAAAGCAGGGAAACAGGATAAAATCTGCCCTCCTGCCTTCTTTTCTCCTCAGCGTGGTCAGGAGGTGGTGGAAAGTTGAGGCGGTAGAGCTAGATCTTGGGGCCGTCAGGGTGCTCTGGAGGGGGAGGGGGTCCCATCCCCTCCTTTCTCTTGCTTGCCTTCCTTGCAGTGAGCAGCTTTGACTCACTTTGCCACAGGCCCACAGGCAATGGGGCCCCCAGTCCTGGGGGGAGGCCTGGAGAACAGTGAGCCAGAGGAGAGCTCTGCTCTCGGTCATCTTCTAAGGTATTCATCAGAGCCACAGAACTCTCACACCAAGGATTAAATAACGTGCCCAAGCTCACAGCCCCAGGGAGCTAGGGTTTGAACTCAGGAACCTCGAGTCCTAATGAGCCCTGCTCTACCACTTGGCCTGGGGAAGCTACATCAGGGAGGCTTTCTGCCAGAGCATGCAAGCTGGCCCGGGGCTGGTCATGAGCCGATCACCGGGGCCCTGCCCCAGCCTGCCCTTGGCCACGTGGGCGGAGACCGGCCCTGGCACCTAAATTGTGGGGTGCTTTGTTGATGTGGCACATTATAAGCTAATCAGATCAATGCAGAAAGAGCAAATTACTTGTAATTAGGGACGATTAGTGCAATAGTAAGATTACGCCCCTATAAAATCACGTCTCATGCAGGGCCCGTGGCCACAGCAGAACCTGCTGCCTCCCTGGGGACCCTGGTCCCCCACGCCCTCCCTGGCGGGGCACTCACCCACGGTGGCAGCCAACCCGGTGGCGAAGGCATTGTGATGCAGCAGGTGAAGGAAGGTGGTCTTGCCCACACTGGAGTCACCCAGGAAGATGACGTGGAAGAGGTAGTCAGGGTTGGCCTGAGGCTCGGGGGTGGTGGCAGAGTACCCGAGGGAGGGGTCCGTGCCAGGGGCTGAGGGCCAGCTCTCTGCCTTGAGTGGAGGGGGGCCTGTCTCGTTCTCTGCCTGGGCAGTGTCAGGCTGGGGTCTAGGTGGGGTTTTGGGCTCAGCCGGGGTGGAAAAGGCCTGGGGGTGCTGCTGGGCCCCTGTGTTGGGAGAGAGCCCCGTGGGAAGTGGCTGCTCAGAGACAAGGGCCACTGCCAAGGGAGCCTGCAGGGGCTCCGTGAAGGTGAAGGCCGGCAGAGGGGCTGACTGGGTGGGTTCCAGAGCCTCGGCTGCCTGCTCGGAACTGGGGTCCTGCCTGCCTCGGCCTACTGCTTTTCCTTCCCCAGCCTGGGGCTCTGCTTCAGGACTCTGGAGTAGGTGGGTGGATGGCCACTGCAGCCCAAGGGCCTGGCCCTGAGCTTCCCTGAGTCCCTCGGGAAGGCTCTTCTGCCTGCGCAGGCTCTGCTCTCCCAGCCCCAGGCCCTCCTGGGGAGCCTGTCCTACAGGCTCCAGCCCCTGAGTGAAGAGCACAGTGCCAGGGGACGCCAAGCCTGGCTCAGCACCCTCAGCCCGTGGGGCCTCTTCGTGCCTGGGCTCAGGGCCATGAGGGCCCTGGAGCAGCTCCCTGGGCCCAGCGGGATTCTGGGGAGGGGGCTGAAAGCCAGCATCCTCCTCCACAGGAGTGAGGACCCTGAGCATGGCTGACACCAGGCTCCCCGATCCCTCCACTGGGGCCCCCAGGAGATCCCCTCCCTTCCCATCCTGGGTGCTGGGGTGCAACTCTGGCGGGCTCCTCGGGGCCCCATTGGGATCTGGCAATGTGTGCAGCTCCGAGATGGAGATCTGCCTGACCACACGGGGCGTCGGGGCTCCTGGGGTAGCCTGGGGTGAGGAGGGTGGGCTCCAGGCCAGCTGTGGCGCTCGGGGTGGGGAGCTGCTGAAGCCACTCAGGAGCTGGTCCCAGTCATCATTGTCCCCGAATAGCCCGGGCAGGGGGCCCTCCTCGGGGGTCTCGGCCCGAGTGGCTGAGACCTTTTTGTTTGCTCCAGGAACCCTGGGGAGAAAGTGGGAAGTGAACTGGGGGGGGGGCAGGAAGTAGTCACCCCCCTGCAAGGCCCCAGTGCCATCTCAGATGTCCTCCTGGACCCACCCAGTGCTTCTGGACGTGTGTGTGCACGCGCTCGTGGTCTTGGGCACAGGCCTCGCCCTCTTCTGTGCCTCAGCCTCCCCCTCTGAGAAGCAAGCAGGGCATGAGGACCAAGGAGGGAGCTCTGTGTGCAGTGTGGAGGTGGCAGCACTTGCCTGGCATCCTCCTCCGCTTGCCAAGACACTAGGCCCCTGGTGGCATCCAGGTGTCCCCTGGTCACCTGCAGCTGCCCCCGCACCTCCTCCAGCTGCCCGGCCAGGTCTCGCCCGGCCTCTCTGAGCTGCAGGTTCTCTGAGGTAGCCTCTTGGTGGGTGTCACTGAGGCTGTGGAGCTGGGCCTCCAGCTGTTCGAGGGAGGAAAGGGGCGATTGCAGCTCGCCCTGCCCCAGCTCCCTGGCCTGCTCTGCTGGGCTCTGGGTTAGAGGGGGACATCGTCCTTCGGGTCTGCTTGTGTTCTGTGAACCCGGGCTGCACAATACCACCCAGGGCCTTTGCACAAGCCGCTCCCACTGGCCCAAAGTGCTTCTGCACACTCATCCTCTCAGGTCTTCGTGCCACGTCGTAGTCTCAGTGAGGCCGTGTGACTCCCTCACCCTCGTTTCACGTCCTCACCCACGCACCCCTCCTGCCCAAGATTACCATCTTTAGCCCTGTGGCCCTTGTGGCCTTATCATCCACTGTCCCCTGATTGGTGGCAGCTCTATGGGGAGGGCTGTATCCCTTAGGGCCTCCCACAAAGCCCGGCACATGGTAAGTGCTTGGTTAGGAGTTGTAGGGTGAAGAGAGGGAGGGATTCACACTTTCAGGGACGGAGAAGTTCCAAGAGGTCACTTGGCTGACGATGCAGAGGAGTGGTGGACAGTGACCTCCTAAGTCTCGTTTGTCCTGTGCCTTCCTACTTATGACCTCATTGGACACGTGGAGCCTGGGAGACACCATGGATGGGTTGCCCCCATTTTACAGATGGAGAAATCGAGGCCAGGACAGGTCCCCAAGCACTGCCTTGTTACTGTTCTCAACAGGATACCTCAGGGCTGGGTGGGGTACAGAGACACAGCTGCAGCTGGTGCGAAGGGCCACTCACCTCACTCTGGCCCTGTGCCAGTTGCTGCACCTCAAGCTCCTTGGCTTCCAGGGCCTCCTGCATCTGGGCACTGAGGGCCAGGTCCCTGGAGTCACTCTGAGGACAAGGCCACTGTTGAGCACAGGAGCCAGGCACCTGCCCACAACACATCCACTCTTGCCTAGGGTGCAGCAGGGGCAGGCGTTCCAGCAGGAGGGCTCTTGGGGTCCTCTGCCTGTACCTAGGTTGTCACAGCAAGGAGGGCAAAGCCGGCGGCGAGCAGAAGCTGCCCTGAGGGCAAGTGAGACCTGGCCCTGCTCCCCGCCCCACGTGGCTCTGGGGAGCCCGAGGACCCAGCACCCTGCGCCCACCTGGGCCTGCAGCTGCCGCTTCTCCCGGTGGATCTGCTGCTCCATTTCCTCATACAGCTGCCGCACCTCGCGGTGGTGGTCGGAGTCACACCTGCAAGGAACAGGGAGAGCACCGGTGGCCCCGCGGTGCTGGCTTGGGGGCCCATCTGAACGCTGTTCTCGTCCTGCTGCCATCCTTGTAACTCAGACCCTGGGCAGGGCTGTGCCTCACCACCCACACTCTGTGTGACACAGGGGATCAGAAGGAGCCAGAGCACCCACTCTGCCCTCTGTCCTCCACCAACTCCGGCCACACTGGGCGTGGGAGGTCAGGCCTGGTTCACCCCACAGGTGCTGACCCCTCGGGGGTCACCGTGGCCTCCGACTCACTTCCTCAGAGTCTGCTCCAGGGCCTCCTTGTCGGCCCGGGCTTCCTGCAGGCGGCTACTCATCTTGGCCAGAAAACCCTCCAAGTTGTCCACCAGCTGGGGCTCCTCCTGCCTCAGTTTCCTCCACAGTTGCCAGATTTCCGTCTCCCTGGGAAGGAAAGCCCCAGAGATGAGATGGCCAGGGCCAGAACAGGAGGGTGCGTGTGCCTCAGTTTTAAGGGCAACATGGGGGGATGTGGGCACATGGGCTACACAGCTCCACTGACATGGAGCAGGGGACCCTCCCCAGGCTTTTTCTCCATTCCTGATGCCCGAGCTCTTCTCCCTGCTGCAGTGACTCATGGTGGGGTGCGAGGTGGACAGCCTGGGGCTTCTCTATGCCCCTCTCCCCACATGAACTGTGTGGGTGTTGGCCAGGCCCCTGTCCTCCCTCTCTGGGCTGCCCTTTGAACTAGGGAGGCTGATACCTGCCTGGCAAGGGCATTGGGGATGGGAGCCTTGCTCAGCAAAAGCATGAGCTGGGAGCTGGCACGTGGTTGGTACTTGATACATCCTGCTTTTATATAGATTGAATTAAAGTCATGAAGATGAGTGCCCAGGCTGTGCCAGGCCTCACTGCCAAGAGGCTCCTGTTCCACCAGTCCTGTGCCCAGGTCTGCCCTCCCTGAGCCTGGGTGAGGATCCTGCCTCATGGGGATAGACCCCTCTCAAAGACTCCTGTGGCTCTGGGGCACCTCTCTGAGCCTGGAGAGTCCCCATATCTGAGCTCCAAACATGATTGCAGCTTGCTCTGTCCTGCGTTGCCCCCTGGCTGGCAGCCACCCCCCAGGTCCCCATAGCCTGGCCTTACTCAGGAAGCGAGGGAGCAGTTCCCAGCTGTCCCAGAAGGGCAAGGAACGCCTCCCTCTCCTCGGAGTCGGCCTCCTCCAGGGCTGGGAAGCCAGCAGTCACAGACACCCGCTGGGAGGCTGGTGTCCGCCGCCTGCGGAGCCCATGGGTGCTCAGGCTGGAGCCAAAGATGTTTTCTGGGGAACAAAGGGGCGCAGACTGTGGTTGGGCCCTGCCCAGCCCTCAGAGAAGGAATTATGCTTGTGCCTATCGCATGGATACAGAGCCGAGTGCACACTGCCCTTGGATCAACTTCGGGGGGCCAACCGATGCCATGTGCTCATTTCAGGGCATCTGCTATGGGTGGTGACAAAATTAGCCCAAATCCCAGTCCTGCTGGGCGGAAATTCAAGTGAGGGTGATGGAAGTTAATCATCCTCCCCCCTCTCCTCTCCTTTCTCCTTACGCTCCCCCTCAATCAAAGCAGATTTGCTAAATTGGTTAAAGGAATATACCCAGTCAATTCCAAGGTGACATGGGGTGGCTAGGAAATTGGGTTGTGAATGACCAGTGGAGTGAGTGGTTGGGGCAGGGAGGGAAGCACATGTAAAAGCCCTGGGGCAGGAGCCAGGCTGGCAAGACAGAGGTGGGCCTGGGTGCCAAGGGAGCCCAAGAGGTGGGCAGGGTGTGGGTGGTATAGGCCTGGTAGGGCTGGAGAAGGGGTCGAGTTTATTCCACAGGATATGATGGGACCCAGGTATGAGCATGACCCCTTGGGCCATGTGACAACTGTCCCGTGCCCCCATCCATGGTGTCAGGCCAGGTCCTCCTTCTGTTCTCCGATTCTCAGTCCCCAGAATTAGAGTGACTGGTGGGGTAGCCACAGGCAGGACACACAGGCTGCCCTGAGGGCCGGGGCCCATGGGCACTGGCGCTGTGGCTTTCAGGAACTCGGAAGGGTTCTGACCCCTGGCAACCCTGGGGTCCCCTCAGGCTCGTCTTAGAGGTAGGTGGCTGATGGCTCTACCCTAGGGGCCTAGCTAGGGGAAGTTCCCACCTCTAAGCACCGTGCCCTCTTTGGTCCAGGCTGAGGTCCCCAGAATGAAAGCCAGGATGTGACAGACCTCAGGAGGGGACATGCCTGGCCTCAGGTCGGGACCCACAGGAAGGGCAACCTTGCTAGAGGAGCTGTTGGTGGGGAAGAAGACAGGAAGAGATGCTCAGGGGGAACTGGGGAGTCCATAGCTGGTGGAGAGGTCCCTGGGGCCCTCCAGGGGGAGACGTACTGAGTCCAGAACTGAACTCCTCCAGGGACAGGCGGCCCCTCCGCTCCAAGTCCACCCAGTCGAAGACCATCTGCGGCTGTTGCTCGATGCCCAGGAAGTGGAACTTGGCCTCCTGAAAGGAAGCAGGTGGGGAGCCCTCCCCACCGAGAGGCTCTGGACCATGCATGCAAGGGTGTGAGTTTGTGGTCTTAGACCTCTCCCGCTTTCTGTCTCCCTAGTTCCAGAGCCCCTGAACAATCTGACACTAGCTGGGTGTAACACCACGGGCCTGTCATTCTAGCGCTCGGGAGGCTGAGGCAGGAAGATCTCCAAAGCCATCCTGGGCTACATAGTGAGACCCTGTCTCGAAAAACTAAGGAATCGTTAAGGTGGACAGCGAGCCCCGCCAGCACCATCTGGGAAAAGCCACCTGACTCTAGGATGTCATTGCTGAGGACTCGTGAAAAGCCCCAGACTAAATGAAGCCACACTGTCACTCGCAGTCTAATCCAGGAGTGATGTGAATAATCTTGTCTGATGGGAGTGTTAGCAGCCCAGCCTCGCGGCCTGGGGGGCCGGACCCGGCTCTCGTGTGTCTGCCTCAGCACCCCGATCCTAATCTGTCTTTGCTGAGAGGCCTCGTTTCCTAGACACTCTTAGGATGAGTAAGAACATTTGTGAGATAAATAAAATCTTCAGTATAAGTTTGGTTATGACTGTTGTTATGGTTTGTGTCTAGGTGTCCCCACAAAGCCGCATGCAGTCGTGGGGCAGCTTCTAGACTTTGTGATTAATTCATGTTCCTATGCTGGGATTATGGGTGTGAGCGCTACACCTGCCCTGGGGCCGAAAGCCTGAACAGAATAGAAGGAAGGGAGAGAGGCTTGCGAGCTGCCACAGTCGCTGCTCCTCCCTTTGCTGTTGTGCTGGTTTCCACCACTATGAGCGGCTGCTCTCTGCCACGTGCCGCTCTGCCTTGGAGCCAGCTGAGTATGGACCGAAACCACCACTAACTGTGAGCTAAATAAACCTCTCCTTCCTTAATTTTTTTAAAAAAAAATGTATTTAGCACAGGGTCTACAGGGTCTCACTACACAGATTGGACTTGTAGTGATCCTCCTGTGTTCAGCCTCCCAAGCACTGGGATTACAGGCCTACACCACTACGCCCAGTCTCAATCCCTGTTTCAGTGCGCCCCTAAGGGCAGGGCTGACACAGCACACTGGGGATCGAATCCTGGTCCCTGAGCTCTGCCTAAGCAGGTGCTTTATTCAGCTGAGCTATCTCACCAGCCCTTCTTTTCTTAATTTTGGGTAACGGGTATTTTGTCCCAGCAACGAGAGAAAAGTAACTAAAACAGCTGTCTATATAGGGCATGATTTTACCTTTTGGCAGCTGCTCTTTAATTATCACCAGAGGTCGTGGTGCACAGCCTCTCCAGAGGAACACTGGGCCTAGTGCATTGGAGGGTGGAATCCAGGGCCTGCACCCCGAGTGCCATCTCCACCCCTTTTAATTTTTTTACTTTGAGACAGTGTCTTGCTAAGTTGCCCAGATGGGTTTGAATTTGTGATCCTCCTGCCTCAGCCTGCCAAAATGCTGGGAGGATGGGCATGAGCCATTGTTCCGGCTTGTGCTCAGCTCTAATGGACTGCAGCCAAGAAATCTCTTATCTCGGCTCTCAGCAGGACTCCCAGTGCAATAGAACTTTGAATTTGCTGTTATCTCTCTCTCTCTCTCTCTCTCTCTCTCTCTCTCTCTCTCTCTCTCTGGCCAAGCTATTCTGATTGGTGGGGGCAACAATGGGCAATTCAATTTCATGGTTCACTCAGGCTGCATAATGGAGACCAAGGGCTGCCTGGCTGAGGGGAGATAACGGAAAATTTGGTTTGCTAATCTTCTTTGTTTGTTTGCCTGCCTTTCTGTTTGTGACCTTATTGGGTAAGGATTGCTTATTGGTTGAGGATTGCAACACGCCGGAAAGGACAGCAGCAGTTGGGATCTGGATTGGAGAGTTTTTAGGTTTCCTTTTGACCCAAGACATTGTAGAAACGAGGGAAGATGCTTTCTGTCTCTGTCTGTAATTCTGAAAAATCTTGAACACTTGCTGTGGCTGTGAAATACTGTCCCAGCTGGGCATTCTGTTCTATTGGTTTACGGAGACAAAGATATGCTTGTATAAAGTCAATGTTTGTTGAAATAACAGAAAATAAAGCTAACATTTTAAATGTGCTATAGCTCAAAAAAAAAAGTCCTGGGACTACAAGATAGCTCAGCAGTCTAAAGTGCCGGCTTAGGAAAGCTTAGGAAGCGCAGGGACCGCAGTTCAATCCCCAGGGCCACATGACACGCCAGCCCCAGCCCCAGAGTGGGCTGAACCACACACACACACACACACACACACACACACAGTCCTTTTTAGCCAGGTATGGTGGAACATGCCTGTAATTCTGTAATCCCAGCACCCAGGTGGCTGAGAAAGGAGGATCACTACAAATCTGAACTGGGTAGTGAGACCCTGCAACAAATAAATAAATAAATAAATACAAATTGAAAAAAAAAGTCCTTAGAGCTGGGTGGGCTAAAGCACCTGCTCAGGCAGAGAGCAGCAGCAGGGCCAGCCCCGTCCCCAGGGCACTCTGTCCCCAGGGCACTCTGAGCTGGTGACTGAGCCTGGGCGCGGTGGTGTGTGCCCTAAGTGCCGGCACTTGGGAGGCAGGAAACAAGAGAATCGCCGCGAGTCTGACCTACGGGGTGAGATCCCGTAGCCCCTACAGACTCTGTCCCAAATACATTTAAAAGAATAAATAAAAATAAAATAAAATAATTTCAAAAATCCTTCTTATAGTAACTATGAACTCAATAAAAATATAAAGATCCAGGGCAACATAATTAAGATGGATTGCTGGAAAACATAGTCTCACTTAATAATTTTGGTTCACAGAGTACAAAAAATAGCTGTGTTTTCTCTGCTTTGTGTTGATTATAACAAAAGTACATGTTTCTTTTTTCTTTTCTTTCTTTCTTTTTGCCTTATCGAGACAGGGTCTCACTATGCAGCTCAGGCTGACCTTGAGCTCACTTTGTAGCCCACGCTGGTCTTGAACTCCCAATGATCCTCCTGCCTCAGCCTCCTGAGTGCTGGAATGACAGGCATGAGCCACCATGCCCGGCGATACTGTCCTTTTTTTTTTTTTTTTTATAAAATCTGGGTTTATGTTTTATGAGGAAACTAATCCATCTAAAGTTTTTCTACTTCTCATTAAGATCTTCTGATCAAATGAGTTTGTTTATAAAACATGCAAGTTTGTGTTCTACTAATTGGTTCCTTATGCTAACAAATGCATTTTATGCACAGTATTATATTTTACAGTGAATCCCTTAAACACAATCTCCAACATCTGTCTACTTTATTTTTTTATTATTTTTTTTTAAATTTTATTTATTTATGTGTGTGTGTGTATGTGTGTGTGTGTGGCCAGCTCAGCCCACCAGGGGGCGGGGCTGGCTGGCATGTGGTGCTGGGGGATTGAACCGCAGTCCCTGTGCTTTGCTAATCTTGTTCTAAGTAGGTGCTTTAGACCACTGAGCCATCTCACCAGCCCCCATCTGTCTACTTTAAAAGCCTGTACTACTTGTAAATTATTGTGTTGATAAATTAATAGTTGGGGGCTACTTGGATAATAATGTTTTAATTAAAATTTTAAAAATATTTATTTGGTACAGGGTCTCGTTACGCAGCTCAGACTCCTAGTGGTCTTCCTGTCTCAGCCTCCCCAGCCCTGGGACTGCAGGGATGTGCTACCATGCCTAGTTTTGGTGGCTGGCATGGTGCACCCAGGGTTCTGGGACTGGCACAGCATGCAGTACTGGGGATCGAACCTAGATCCTTGTGCTTGCCAGACAGGCGCTTAGACCGCTGAGCTATCTCCCCAGTCCTATTTTTTTTGTTTGTTTCTTTTCTCTTTGAGACAGGGTCTTACTGCATAGTTCAGGCTGACCTCAAACTCACTCTGCAGCCAAGGCTGGCCTTGACCTGGACAATAATCGTTCTGTCTCAGCCTCTCCAGTAGCTGAGAGCGTAGGCATGCACCACCTTACCTGGCTTACTCTTTGCCTTACTTTTACATGCTAGTAGTTGTGCCGTTGGGTTGTGTGGATGAATACATTCATTTTTGGCCACTTGGAAAATGTTGCTTGCCAGGAACCTGAAAGGCACCCGAAGGTCCCACAAGGGGGCGGCTTGGTAAGTGACAGGTCTCTATACGTAGACCCAGGGACACTGTCCTGCCTTTAGAGAGGGCCGTAGCTCTGAGCCAGGCTTCCACACTCAGGTGCCTGAAGGGCAAAATGCTAAGTGGAAAACAAGGGTTTGATGAGATTTATGTGAAATAAACCTGGAGTGGTCAAACTTTGGGACACAGACAGCAGAATGAGTCCCAGGAGCTGGGGAAATGCAAGCCACGCCCCAGGCTGAGAGGAGTGAAGTTCTGGCGTGGAGGCGGCGCTGTCTGCACAGCCCTGCGGGGGCGCTCAACACACTGGGGACACACTCCCAAGGCGCCAACACGGTAAATTCTGTTGTGCATGTTGTAGCCCAGTTTTTAAAAAAGTCATGCAATGTATGTGTGCTGCTGCAGAAAGTTGTGTTGTGGGTCCTTGTGGCGCTGGTGCTCAGCCACAAGGCTTGTATAAAGTATCTCTTGTCAGGCGTGGCGGTGCATGCCAGTAAGCCCAGCTACTCAGGAGGCTGAGGGCGGAGGATGGGGCGTTGGAGACCAGCCTGGGCAGCTTTAGGAGACTGTGTCTCAAGAAGAAAAGTACAAAGGGTAGGGATATGCTCAAGGCTTCCTGGGTTCGACCCCCAGTACTGCGTGTGTGCGCGCGCACACACACACACACACACACACACACAGAAAAAAAAATAATTCTTACTGTTCAACCTCTGTTCTTTCTTTCTGTTTGTTTGTTTTTTTGGCGGAACCAGGGATTGAACTCAGGCCCTTGCACTTGCCAGGGAAGCGCTTATTCCACTGAGCCATCTCCCCAGCCCCAAACCTCTGTTCTTTCTGTGGTAAAGGTTAATGATGTTAGTTAAAAACTGCAATCATCACTTTTTACCTGGATGGCTGGGAGTCCACAGACAGCATTAGCGGCAGGAGCACAGCTGTGTCTACAAGGAGAACAGCTTTTGCTTGTAAGGGGTCAGGCCAGTCCTCCTGCTTGAAAGTGTCTGGGTCCTCCACAGCATGAGAGAGGAGTGCCGCGTGTGGGGGCACACACCCGTAATCCCAGCCCTCGGGAGGTGAAAGCAGGAGGATCGGGGAGCGTTCTCAAGGCCAGCCTGGGCTACAAACTGAGCTCAAGGCCAGCCTGAACCGCAGAGCGAGACCCTGTCTCAGAAAAGACAAAAAAAAAAAAAAAAAAAAAAAAAAAAAAATCCCAACAGATGATAGACAGACAGACAGACAGGCAGATGATAGATCAACTTGGTCCTAGAACCTCAGCCAGTGCTCACAGGTTAGCTGCTGGATTCTATGGAAGCTGCCAGGTAACTCTATGGTCACAGTAACCTCCTCTGCTTTGTTTTGTCCACAACACATTGTACTTTTTTTTTTTTTTTCCCCAGAACCAGGGATTGAAATCAGGCCCTTGTGCTTGCTTATTCTACTCAGCTATCTCCCTGGCCCCAAAAATTGTAATTAAAAAAAAAAGCAAAAGCATCTCTTTGTGGAAGAGCTAAATTCTCTTGCAATCATATTATCTTCCCCTGTGTTTATTTCATAATCTTTTTTTTTTTTTTTCAGTACTGGGGATCAGACTCAGGACCTTGTGCTTGCCAGACAGGTGCTTATGCCGCTGAGCTGTCTCCCTGGCCATTATTTCATAATCTTTTATGTCTCTGTCACTTGATTAAGTAGGTGACCAACCACTATTTCTCAGTCTGCAGGGTTTGTCCTAACCTGGAGCCTGAATGTTCTCTACCAACGCTTTCAATGTTGCCTTCTCAGATTAGATCCTAAATGTAGATGATAATTTTCACATAAGTTTCTGTTTATTTTTTTATTTTCTATTTTTTTTTTTTTTTGACACGGGGTCTCACTATATAGTCCAGGCCAGCCTTGAATTCACAACAATCCTCCTGTCTCAGCCTCCCAAGTGCCAGGATGAAGGTCAGCATTTTTGTTGATTGAGGTCCTCAATGCTACCCCAGGGGACAGCCTCATGAGGACAGCTGTCAAATCGCAAAAGGACTGGGCTGGAGAGGTAGCTCGGCAGTCTAAGCACCTGCTTGGCAAACGCAAGGACCTGGGTTCCATCCGCAGTACCAAATGCCAGGCTGGCCCGGAACCTGAGGCATGGTCGGCCACTGAAACTGGGCGTGGTGGTGCATTCCTGTAGTCCCAGCACTGGGAGGCTGAGACAGGAGTATCACTACAGGTCTGAGCTTTGTAGTGAGACCCTGTATCAAATACATAAATAAATAAAAGCTTTACAAAAGAGAGAGGGAGAGAGAGA